TCGGGACCACCTTTGGCCCTTGCATTGCGGGGTCCCCTGGGCAAACAAAGTGACCCAGGCGGCCCGGCTGGTAGGCCTGGTCACTCACCCAATATTCTCCGCTCCTAGAAGGTTCTGGAAAGCCACACCGACGACCTTGTCCTCCATTAGTGCAGGCCCTCCGCTGTTGCCCGGGTTAATTGCCGCATCGATCTGGATGGCCATGAGGTGCGCAGCACCATGTGCATATTGGCATGGTTCAACTCTTGAGACGACGCCACCAGTGACGGAAATATTATCGCCACCTGCAAATGACGCATTACAACGACCGGCAAGGTTAGGTTAGCATAACCATCTCATCCGATGACCGTAAAACTTCTCATTTTCTTTTTTTGTTTTTTTTGTTTTGGACCACCGGTCCCCCCGAGGCAAAGTCGGCAAACCGACGCATTTTCCAGAGCCAGCGGGACCGAGCCCAACATTTTTGGGTCCGCCCTCCGCCACATCCGTTAAAATTGGAACAATACAGAGAAGATTAGTGTGGCCCCTGTGCAAGGATGACACACATAAATAGAGAAAAGGTCCCCAGAAAAAAGAAAGAAAGGTTTCGGGTACACCCGTAACAGTTAGGAGCAAAGATACGTGAGCTTTCGCCGCCAGAATTATATTTTCCCGTTTTCCGCCAGATGGAAGAATGGATGAGCGAACAGGCAGACATGCCAGCAAGCGAGCCGGCGGGCGGGTGAGCAGACCGGCACATAGACAGACAGAATGGCAGGCAGAGGGAGGGATGTCAGGGCTACCATCTTCCCCCGAATACAATGTACGGTCATTCTAGTTGTATCTAGACTGCAAGATGCGTCAAATACAGCTATAATGACCGTACGTTGTATTCGGGGGAAGAAGATAGTGTTTCAAGAGTGGGGTTTAGGGTTTACGGAAAAGAAGTCAACTCAATAAAAGACTGGAATTGATCATATCCATGCATGACACACACACACACACACACAGAGAGAGGGGGGGGGG